TCCCGGCAAAACCTAAACAATATATTTTTTTATAAAAAATCTAAACCGATGGGTTTTGTGGTGGATGATACGGGACTCAAATGGCTAAGACTATGTTTATCAATGATACTGGTTTAGTATCATAAGCCCAAAATGATTAGAAAACAATTAAAATCAGAATTAAAGAAGTGAAATGACTTGATCCGTCTCACCCCAGTGAAACTTTTGAGTCGTCTCAAGGGAAATTTATTAATATACTAAACCTTATGATACTTTTAGTGTATCATTGATAAATATGGTCTAAGGATCACTGGATCACCCTCGATCAACCCCGGAAGAGGCAAATGCTCTGCAATGATTCGGGCTACGCAATCGATATGGACGCTCGGATACTGTAACGTGACATTTGATTTGAGGATGATTGCAATATGGTAATTGAAGCAATGCAGAATGAAACATTCAACCTAAAGCTTAGCCAATAATACATGGGGAGGATCACAACATGGAGAACGGTCTTTGGAGAGGTGAATTTCAACTTTCAAAGAAGAGATGGGAACAAGTGTAGAAATAAGATCATACTGTATATCCGCAGGGCTGTCACCATATTCATAACAGAATCGACCAGTAAAGTTCAAAACCGAAAAGTAAATCAAAAGCGAAAAACAAGAAGCTTATGCGTAGCTCCGCCACCTCCGATCAAGAATCCAATTCCAAGGGAGAAGAAACTAAGTAGGAATACAGACAAGCGACCAAATACCAAACTAAAATGAAAAAACTAACATTGTCCTTTGATTCAACTGCGGATGATAAAGATAGACTTTTGTTGTTGATGATGATAGTTCACTTGGCACCCTTCTTGACGGCAGCCTTTGTCACCTTGGCTCCGGTTGGGTCTTTCTTTTCAACACTCTTGATGACACCGACAGCAACAGTCTGTCTCATGTCCCTCACTGCGAAGCGTCCAAGTGGCGGGTATTCAGAGAAGGTCTCCACCACCATGGGCTTGGTTGGAGTCATCTTCACCATACCGGAGTCACCATTCTTCAAGAACTTGGGCTCCTTCTCCAGCTCCTTACCAGAACGCCTATCAATCTTGGTCAAGATCTCAGAGAACTTGACCGCAATGTGAGAGGTGTGGCAGTCCAGCACCGGGGCGTAACCGTTACCAATCTGCCCAGGGTGGTTCATGATGATGACCTGGGAGGTGAAGTTGGCTGCTCCCTTGGCAGGGTCATCCTTTGAGTTGGATGCAACATAACCACGCTTCAAATCCTTGACAGCAACATTCTTCACATTGAAACCAACATTGTCACCGGGCAAAGCCTCTACAAGAGACTCGTGGTGCATCTCAACAGACTTGACCTCAGTGGTCAGTCCAGTGGGAGCAAAGGTCACAACCATACCAGGCTTAAGCATACCGGTTTCAACACGACCCACCGGGACCGTTCCAATACCACCAATCTTGTACACGTCTTGGAGTGGGAGACGAAGGGGCTTGTCTGATGGCCTCTTGGGCTCGTTGATCTGGTCAAGAGCCTCAAGGAGGGTCGGTCCCTTGTACCAGTCAAGGTTATTGGACCTCTCAATCATGTTGTCTCCCTCAAACCCAGAGATTGGCACAAATGGGATTTTGTCAGGGTTGTACCCAACCTTCTTCAGGTAGGAAGACACTTCCTTCACGATTTCATCGTACCTTCCCTTGGAGTACTTGGGGGTTGTAGCATCCATCTACAAACAGCATAGACAAACAAATTAATGATACTAAGCACACAAAAAAAGAAGAAGCAATTATCATATAACAGATAAAAAGATTGGTTGGTTACCTTGTTACAGCAGCAGATCATTTGCCTGACACCAAGGGTGAAGGCAAGCAAAGCGTGCTCACGGGTCTGACCGTCCTTGGAGATACCAGCCTCAAAACCACCAGTGGTGGAGTCAATGATGAGCACAGCACAGTCAGCCTGTGAGGTACCAGTGATCATGTTCTTGATAAAGTCACGGTGACCAGGAGCATCAATGACTGTGCAGTAGTACTTGGTAGTCTCAAACTTCCACAAGGCAATATCGATGGTGATCCCACGCTCTCTCTCTGCCTTCAATTTGTCAAGAACCCAAGCGTACTTGAAGGACCTCTTGTTCATCTCAGCAGCTTCCTTCTCAAACCTCTCAATCACACGCTTGTCAATACCGCCCAACTTGTAGATCAAATGTCCAGTTGTGGTCGATTTTCCAGAATCGACATGGCCAATGACCACAATATTGATGTGAAACTTCTCTTTACCCATGGCTACTTACTTGTCAAGATAATCTGCAGGAAATCAATCAAAAGAGTAGACATGCATGGAAAACTAATTAGCTCAAAACATTTCCTTTTAACAAAGCCGCTATTGGAGTCCAACCAATTTCTACCACAAAAAGTTTGTGGTACTACTCATGAATTTCAAGAAGTAAAGAACACTATTCACTATTCAAATCAACATGAGTAATATGTGTGATCGATCAAGAGATCCAACCAAGTTCACTCAGATAGATCGATCAAGCAAACGATCAAAGACACAAGTACAAATCAGCTAGCATGAATTGAAAAATTGTCCCGATTGAACTGTAAAACGTTGAAAAAAATTCTAAAGTAGCAAGCAAAAGATAACGGATCGATAATTGTTTCAACGAAGATGGATACAAGAGTAAGAAATCAGATCGTAGATGCGTATGAAACGCTTACCTCAGCACCTGCAATACCACAAAAGAAAGATGCAATAGCAAAACGACTCTTATGGAGTAGAAAGGAGAAGAAAGGGGATAAACGACTTTTCTTTGTAGAGTGAATAGTGAAAGGAAGTGTTTAAAATAACATTTTAAGCGCAGTGGCAATTTGACCAGACTGCGACGACGGCGTACAACAATGGCGACGGAGCAAAGAAGCATTTAAATTATTTTTTAGTTGGTTTAATGAATTTTTCCACTCAATAAAGGAATAAATGTGCTTCTAGACTCGTAATCAAGGGGATCTTCCACAACGTACCGATTGAGTTTGAATAATAGTCGTATTCAAATATCACTGTCCCCACAAGTAACGCTTTACAGCTGAGCATTAGACAAATTAAA